TGACAGCATGTAACAACAACAACAACAAAAATTCTTTCAGTATTTCATTAGTTTTCTTTTTCTGATGTCTAATACATAAAATTTAATTTTCTTTTTTTTTTAAATTTAATTTTCTTAAATAAAAATTATCTGCATGCTTCTTTTTCTATCACACTTTTATGTCATTGCCTATTAGTTTCCATGCACAAAAAGATGGATTGAAAGATGTTCTCAAAGTAATAATAATGTTTATTTCTGTACTGTTGAGTTGAATTCTATGTTGTTTTTGCTTTTAACAGTGAGTAATATAATTTTCTCATTGCAATGGGAAAATTTGCAGTTAGGGACCTTTCCAAATTGTTGAGGAGTAGTGATGTCAGTTTGAAGACTATGGTGTGTCTGATTCAGGCCATGGTCTTTCCGATTACAAGGTATGCATCCAAGACATGGGCAATGAATAAGCATGACAGAAAAAGAATTGATGCCTTTGAACTATGGTGTTGGAGAAGAGCACTTAACAACCCATAGATGGCCAAAAGAATGAATAGAGTAGCCTGAGTGCTCTTTGGAGGCAAGAGTGATGAGGCTTCGCCTCACTATTTTGGACATATTGCTAAGAGGTGCTATTCCTTGGAGTGAGACATGATCTTGGGAAGGGTAGAAATTCAGCAAAAGAGAGGAAGAGCCTCAACCAGGTGGACTGGTATGGTGACTGTTGCATTGGGCTCTTGTGTCAGGAAGTGTGAAGATGGTACAGGACAGGCCTAGGTTCAGATCTTTTATGCATAGGGTCTCTGTGAATCATACTCGACTCAATGGTATCTAACAATAACAATATCATTTTAATAGGATGTTTAAAAGAATCTGATTATATTTTTAAATTTTTTATTATTATTATTTGTGTGTGTGTACCATCAAATCAATCGCAATCACTTGTTATGCATCAGAGAGTTGGACAATGACTAGGTAGGACAGGAGAGTGGATGCTTTTGAGCTGTGGTGCTGGAGAAGAGTACTGAATGTACCATGGACTGCCAGGAAAACAAACGGATTCATCTTGGAGAGGATTAAACCAAGCTACTCCTTGGAGGCAAGGATTCTGGGGCTTCGTCTGACATACTTTGGACACGTTGCAAGGAGGGATGGGTCCTTGGAGAGGGACATCATGCTTGGGAGGGTGAAGGGACAGCGCAGGAGGGGAAGACCCTCTATGAGATGGATTGATTCGGTGACTGGGGTAATCGGGATGGGTGTGTCAGAGGCAGTGCGGTTGGCGCAGGATAGAGCAGGGTTTAGGGCTGTTGTGCATAGGGTCGCTATGAGTCGAAAACGACTCGATGGCACATAACAACAACAACAACAACAACAACAACAACAACAACAACCACCACCACCACCATCAAATCGGATCTGACTGGTACAGGAGGAGATTGTTCCTCCTTCTCCAGCAGAGCATCTGGTGGATTTGAACTGTGTACCTCTGGGATTGCAGTGCAGCTTCTTGCCACTAAGCCACCAGAGCTCGCCAGAATCTGATTATATTTTCACCCTAAAAATCTCATCATTTCCCATATATAACCTTTTTAGGAGAGTAACAAGCATTTTAAGATATGGTAGCTAATTTTTTTGCCTCTGAGTGTATTTAATTAGAAAGTTCACACAGTCAGATAAAAGAAAGGGATCCTTAAGTATCATCTTTGTGACTAGTGTAACACACTAGTGTAACACACAAGAAAAATGATTTTCCATACAAATATGACACTTTTGAGTAGCCCACTAGTAGTACTACCTATGCTTTTGCCTTATTTCATGGTTGGATGACTCCTAGGGATGGAAATAAATTTGTAACAAATCTGTATCAATCCTCGCTTGCGTGCTTTGTGGATATTTACTGAAATGGAATCTTTGGCAAATGACATTTTTAAATGTTTCCTAAGAACAACGACTATAGTAACATTGATAAATAACACAACTTTGTAGACCCTTCTTTTTTCAATACCTTATTGTGCTTTAGATGAAAGTTTGTCTATTAAATTAGTTTTCTCATTTATAATTAAGTTAAAAAGTGCTCTACGCCTGCAAACTCTGCAATACATCAGCTTTCTCTGCTTTTGCTCCTGAGTTGTCCATTTCATTCTTCCAATTTTCCTCTTCCTCCCTGATCTCTCACCTTTGTTTTTAGGCAAATGTTGCCTTTTTGGTCTCAGTAGTTGACTGATCTTCCCAGGGTCACTGTCTCTTTTATAGGCCTGTCTCAGATGGAATTAGCTCAAAGTTGGCTTCAGGTACAAATTCAGTTTCAAGTCAGAAGACTGTCTTGGATGACAGGCCTGAGGCCTCTTCCATTCTCTTTTAGACAAACAAGTCTGATTACATTGTTTCCCCATTCTGACTGGAGCCTTCTTTTGTAGTCCTGTTCAGAGTGTCAACAGTGGCAGAAAGACACTATCTAATTTTTCTGATGTCAGATTAGAGGAGACTGTGGTTCACATGGTCCATCTGTCCTTTGGACTAACTACTACCTTGAGTCTTGATTTTTTTTCCTTTCTTCTTTGCTCTGGATAGTAAGAGATGAATATTTGCTTCTTAAGCAGGTGCTCATAAGGTTTAAAGATCTTTAACAATACTCTTAAGCCAAGAATGTTTTCATGAATTGTGCTTTGCCAAGTGACTGGGATATCCCTGAGACCACGGTCCTTACTTAGTCTTCAAGTACAGTGGTTCATCTTGGATGTCTAAGTAGACATAAAACTATGTCACTATGTGCTCTATTTTATATATATGTGTGTTGTTGCTGTATACCGTTGAGTTGGAACTGACTGACAGCTTACCCTACAGGAGGTTTTCACAGGCAGATAATCACACAGGTGGAGATTGTCCATCTTTCTTCTCTGGAGCAGCTGGTGAATTTGAACCATGTGCCCTTGGGATTATAGCACAGATTCTTACCACTAGGCCACAGAGCGAGTGAGCTATTTCTCTCTCTTTCTCTCTCTCTCTCATCCATCACATATAAATGTGTATATAATCCATACTTACACCTTAGAAGCAAAAGTGATGAGAGACTTCTTATATCTTAGGTACTTTATCAATAGAAGTCAGTCTCTGGAAAAGGACCCTAAGCTTGGAAAAGCAGACTGACACAGTGACTGTAACAATGGGTATAAACTCAGTAGACTTTGAGGATGATAGAGGACCAGGCAGGGTTTCGTACTGTTGTACATATGGTCACTATGAGTCGGAGCTGACTTGAGGGCGTCTAATAACATTACCTATGTATACATATGTATGCAGGTCCATTACCATATGACCTTCCTCACTTATTTGACACCTATATGCTTACAAATTTTTGTTGATCATCATTGTTGCTGCAAGATTATATATGTTACAGCATTTATGATAGTTGCCTGAATTCTTGTATACCTCTCAGCCTCTTCCTTTGGCTTAGTCATGCTGCATTGACCTCTTTGTATTATATACTGCCTTTTCCTTTATCAGAATGAACGTTTCGGTTCTATCTAGTTAATATATGTTGTTATTGTGTTGTGTACCATCCGAGCTAGAACAGACCTATCGCTGACTCTGCAGCAAGTTTTCAGTGGGTGAAATTGCATATGAAGGGACTATCCATCCTTCTCCTGTGGTGCAGCTGGTGGTTTCAAACTGTGTGCTTTCAGGATTGTAGCACAGATTCTTACCACTAGGCCACCAGAGCTCCCTAGTTAGCATACAGACTCTTCTTATAGGGAAATATATTATGGTTCAGTTTGATTCACGAGCATCTTGTTCAATCAGTGGCTGCACCTGAAAGGAAGTAATTTCTGAAAAAATGACATTCATGTCATTCATGAAACAATGCAAGTTCCTGCTTTTATAGAATTCTAGGGGAGCGTTTTGATATGACGGGCTTGCAGAATCCTTCATCCCCTGGTTAGTTCAATTGTTACCCCTTAGGCAGGGGTGAAGAATTCTATGTCCTCTTTGTTGATGAAATAATGCATCTCCTGAGAGGTGGTGAGAGAAATGCTTCCAAGGAGTGAGATAGAGTTCTATGATGGCTGAGATGGGCCATGTAAGCAGACATCAAGAAACAGAATCTCTTAAAAAAAAAAAAAGAAAAAAGAAAAAGAAACGGAACCTCTTAAAGTCTAGCCTCGTGGACTCATGGTCCATGAAGACATGGCATTTTCTCAAACTTCTATGTTTGTATACATCAGCCTTTAGGAGGAGAGGGTCATTAGCTTTTATCAGACTCATACAAATATTACATAAACCCCAAAAGTTTAAAACTGCTCTTAGAAATGAATACATAAATAGTTATAGAGTTAGGATACAATAACTTTCACTACATTAAGCAAAATTTCAAAGGCTCCAATTTTCGCCTCTTCAAACAATATTTCAAAAATCACTTACTACCCAAGCAGATATACACACACCCATGTTTACAGTGGCTTTGTTCACAATAGCAAAGAATTGGAAACAACTCAAGTGCCCATCAACGAATGGATAGAGAAGCTCTGGCATACGCTGCATTGAAAAACAAGGAACTTATGAAATATTATACAACATGGGTGACCCTGGAGGACATTATGCTGAGTGAAATATCTCAGTCACAAAAGGACAAATACTGCATAGTGCCACAGTTGTAAAATGGGACTGACATCGGGGTTGGGGGAGACTGAGAAAGAGGGGATAATGTGTACTACATTGAGACAGATGGGGGAGACAACTGTTTAAAAGGGATATATAATTAGGTATTATTGTTGTGACAGGAGTCCAGAATGAAGGCTACATAGTGGAGTGGACTTTGGGGGAGGGATTGTATAACAATGAAAAAATTTTTCTTTTATTTTCAAAGAGAAGAGTGAATGGGGGAAGGGTGGGCAAGGAGAAAAGCGCAACAATGAATGAATGGAAATCCAGTCTCTGTAAACTTTCATTAAAATTAATTTAAAAAAAGGAAAATTAATCACTTACTAAAACACCAGACCAAAATAAAAACAAATACCCAACTCACTTACTATTTATAGATTCCTTCAGATAATTGTCAATTTCCATATCTGGAGTTCTGATTTCTGTATTTTCTCTTATAAAGTTCAGTAGGATGTTAGCTTCTGGTGTATCTTAAAAGTGGAAATGTATTAACAAGTAAAGGGAAGTGAGCTAGGTGTTGGGAACAGCTCTGCTGACCTGTATCCCCATTTTCTGCATCCTATACCATCCCTCCTTTTAACAAGGCACCATCTAAGGCCTCTGTGGAGGAATATGATCTTCATGCTTCATGCTTCAGAAAAAGTTATTTGAGTGTATGAAAACACATTTTTATTTTCTAAATTGTCAATAACTTGTTTTGTTTTATCAATGACACTTATCTCTTAAAGTATACAATAGATGATAGCACTAAAAATCAGTTCTGTAAATGTTTATGAAAATTAATAAAATATAATTATAGAAAAAAAAATAAAAATCAGTTCTGCTCTTTGCATGTCTTTAGTACAGATATCAACAATACAGTTCATCACAGGTTAAAAAAAAAGTCATCTAAAGAAGTTTCTGATTTCTTCTTAGTATTAGACCCAATTTGTAAGTTTCTTTTTAGCTGCACTGCCGTAGGCCCGGGTATCTAACAAGGTCATTTCCATGGGGATGTGGATGTCACAGAGCTCCTTACCTGGGTTGGTTGTAATAATAGTTTTTGAGATTACAGTTGCTGTCATACAGCTCCGAAATTTGTCAAAACTTATTCTTACATCTGCAGCAAAAATCACTGTTTGGGGAGAAGCCATTTTAGATTATCGCATGGGAAAGGTAGAAAGGATAAAGAAATGGAAGACAGTGTGCATACTTATGTTATCGTACCTGTTTCTCGAGGCACCCAGCTCTGCGCCAGCAGAATAGATTCGTGGTCCCAACTGAATTTTGTAAAGAAGAGATAATAAAATGGCTGTATGATAAGAGAACTGGCAATGCTGTTATTTATGGCTGACAGTCTGCTTTTCCTGCCTCCTGGACCAGAGGATTGAAAATTTCCATAAGGAATCACCTCTTTAACAAATGTGTTTGCCAGACAGCATTAACATTCTGTTCCTCAAGCCTGTCTTTCCTATCCTCAGGGATATTCCCCTGTTTTGCATAGGGTCTCTAATGAGTCAGAATTTACTAGATAGCACCTAACAAAAATAGGTCATTCCTACTTGGCTACTTGGAAGCCAGTGGTGAGAAAATTACTCTGTCAGAACCTTTAGGGAGGGTTCTCACAAAGATAAATTGCCCAGATCACCAGGTGGACCGAGGGCACTCTTCTAATTTAGGGCTTCCATAAACAGATTCATACTCAGCTTCCATGCTGTGTAGCATGCTAGCATTGCTCCAAGGTCAGATCCCTGGGAGTCACACCTCCATCCCTCTCCAGGACTGTTCACATTAGTCTGCCTTGCTCATCATCAGTGGGGCCTGATGAAATATTACTGCTGAGAAAACAAGGAGCCCCAGAGGTGCAGAGGCTAAGTGTTCAGCAGCCAACTACAAGGTTGATGGTTGGAATCCATCAGTTACTCCTAGGGAGAAAAATGAGGCAATCTGTTTCTGTAAAGATTTACAGCCTTGAAAACATTCTAGGCAGATCTGTTTGGTCCTATAGTGTTGCCATGAGTTGGCACTGACTCAAGGGTGGAGGGTTTGCATGATAAGACAGAACAGGAAGACACAGCAATCACCTTTTAGTCCATCCTAGCAAGATCCTACCTTCTGCCTTCGGGTGGTATCTGTTTTATGGCCTGCAACCTAAAGTGAAAGACACTGACCAGAAAGCACATCTCCCCTGACAGTGAACCCACCACCTTTCAGCCCTGTCTCAGTAACAGGAGTAGGAACCTCATATCATGAGGCAGAAGTGAGAACATACCACAACATTGTGAAGGAAGTTTCTGTATCATCATAGAGCTTCACTTCACACCTCTGGCCTTGCCTGCGATCTGAAGTAGTAAATGACTTGGGCTCTCCAACCTGACAAGTGGAAGGGGGCATCATTTGTCATTTGTGGCTGTAGCAGTCTCATCCCATAAAGATTTACAGCTTTAGAAACCCAACAGAGGGTTGTTATGAGTGGAAATAATCTCAAAGGCAGTTTGGATTGAGTAATTGTGCAGAGGGACTTAATAAACATTTTATGGGAGCATTTAAATGTTAAATACAAGTAAGGCACATTAAAATGGCAAGAACTAGTACTGTCTGATGATTTGAAAGCATCTCTTTTCTTTGGGCTCTCTCTCTTGTCTTCAGCACAGCCACAAATCTGTCTGGCCAAGGAGAGACCTAAAGATATAACTCTATCCCCCCATCCCCCCATTCATTCATTGTTGCACATTTCTCCCTGCCCAACCTGCCCCATCCCAGTTCGCTCTTCTCTTTGAAAAGTAAAAGTCTTTCATTGTTATACAATCCCTCCCCTTAAGTCTACTCCATTATGCAGCCTTTGTTCTGGACTCCTGTCATGACAATACCTAATCATATATCCTTTTTAAACAGTTCTCTCCCTCAACTGTTTCAATGCAGTATGCATAATTTATCCCATCTTTCTCATTGAAGATACCACTCTTAATAATTTAGGTCTCCCACCATACCGGACAGATGGTTCATGACCAGCCAGCCTCCAGGGCACTCCTGAACCCCTTGAGGCACACAAGGCATGCTTGGTCACAGGACAAGTTCTGTGACCTCAAGAACTCAGTGTCAAAAGGTTGACTTTGGGACATTTTTGACATTGTCTAGTTGCATCCATGTCATGAGGAAAGGGGTGGACTTGGGGACTTGTGTTTCCCCATGGAGCTTTCACATGGAGCCAGCCCCCAGCATGGCCAAGACTGTGACCTCCTCTGGCAACCCCACTGCCATGTCAGTCATGTGCATGGAGCTCTGTGGGAAGGGAAGAGAAAGGAAAGGGAAAGGAAGGGAAGGAAAAAGAAGGGAAGGGAAGGGAAGAAAAGGGAAAGGAAGGGAAGGGAAGGGAAGAAAAAGGAAGGGTTGTTTAGAGAGTCCAGGTCTCCAGAACAGAAGAGATCCAGGAGGAAGAGGTTAGTCAGAGTGGGAAAGGAGACTGCATCATGGCCAGGGTGGGGAGAAACACTATACTGAAAGCTGTAGGGATCTGAGAACTCTCTGAGGCTGTGGCCAGAGTCATGTGTCAAGCTTAGAAATAAACTCACCTGAGGGAAGCCGAATATCAAATTTAATAATAGTAGACCAAATGCTGTATTGGGAAATGAGAGAGGCTTAATACAAGCTGAAGGTCACCTTGTGACACTGGGGCATTCCTTAGGAGGTCACCTTGTGACACTGGGGCATTCCTTAGGAGTCAACATTGTTCTTAGTTTTTATCAAATTAATCCCTCCCTCTTGAGATTAACATAAAGAGGAACTTGGCCTTATCTGTAAAAGATTTCACCATTATCCTTTGTTTTGTACTTCCTTGTGATTCTATATAAATACTCAGAGAAGCATGGCTCGAGGTCTTCAGTCGAGAACTGTTTTACCCTCTCTGCTCTATCTCATTCCTGGCTATTTGTCTCTTTATTATTAACTATAAAATGATTCTATTCTTTGGGACCCTCGGTCTGCAACACTCACCCACAGGCATCAATTTTCAGCAAACAGCAGACAGACCTGCAAGGTGATCAATAATACCACAGAGGTATGCATTGCTTAGAACCACCAACCATGCAAGCGCAAAAGACAAGCACTAACCTAGGGTTAGCTCAGAAGACAGGAAGGGATCAGAAAGGAGGAGGGATGGAAACAGGAAACCCAAGGAGGAAGTTCCATTGTGAGGATTTTAGTCAATGTCATGAAACATGTATAGGGATTTGCTCTGTAAACTTTCACTCAAATCACAATACAAGTTAAAAAATGGTAAATGTTTATAGTTAAAAATGCAGTGAAAGGAGAAAGATCAAGGTGGGTAAAAGTCTGGAGAAAAGGAAATGTAAGAGAATTGGGGCAAGCTGGGAAACTAAACACAAAAAGGGGGGTCATGGAACCCCAGGACAGTGGAGTTTGTGAGTGTGTGTGACACGCACGCACACACACACAGAGAGAGAGAGAGAGAGAGAGAGAGAGAGGAAAGCTACTGCAGGTGAAAGTCATTGTGAATTCTGGCAAATTCTAACTACACTCTAAGTATAATGATATTTCCTGGTACCACATGGGAATTGGCAGACACTTTCTTGCCTTTTTGTAAGACTGAACCTTAATTTCTCTGAAAATGATCTCTATTTGTATATTGTTAGGTGTCAAATTATAGTGACAGCTGGCTTTGTGCTAGGTCAGGCGAGGGCAGGAGACAGAATAAATGTGGCCCTTGGCAGCAGGGGAGAGCCCTCTGGGGAGAATCCCCTTCCTGTTAATGCATAATGCCTGAGTACATTTACCTGCGTTAATCATCGGAAGAAGGAAGACCAACATCCTGTCTGTACTGAGAAGTGAGCTCACTCTTGCCCTTTTTGTTGTGGCTGATGTTGTGTATCCATTTGCCTGGACCATGTTCTCTTGGCCTCAGTTATGTAACAATGTGGTTATGTCTGTTCTGTGAGTCTGACAAGATGTGATCATCTGCACAAGGAACTCTACCAGGAACAGCCAATCAGCTGAAAGGAAGTCTCCTCGCCTGGCCTGCATCCTATCTATACACGGACATTCTGGTAATGCCCTCTGGAGTTTTTACTCTCTGGATTATCACCATCTGACCCCCCATTTTTGGACCGGCGGCAGTGGTGGCCGTTCTTGAGTTCATCATCCCTGCAGATGCCTGAATCAGAGCAAGCCTCCAGTTTGAGACCTAATTCACGGAGTTGGGACTTGGCTCTGTGATAGGTCTATATACATATATAAGCTTCCCTGGTTTTAAGTCTTGAGATAACCCACAAAAGTTCAAATCTAAATTCTTGCAAAGCAATCTATGTCTTGTCAACTATGGCCTTGAGAAGGAGTCATAAGAACAGGCTGGAGGGAGAAGATACTGATGAAGTGTGTGGTAGGGATGGCCCTTGTTCTTGTGGACTTGTCTCTTGTACTTGGGGTTGGACACCAGAGGCCAGTTCATCACAGGAACTCTTCTTCCCTCTAGGAAGGTTCCCATAATAGATTCCTTTGTTTATTCAACTCACATTACTCACCTCAGGTTAGTGAGTGAGAGCAATTCCTCTCCCATGTCTAAGATGTATGGAAAGTGCTCAGAGAGTTAGCACATCTACCCTAGCTTAGGGAGCTCTGGTGGCCTACTGGCAAGAAGCTGTGCAGTAGTCCTGAAAGCAAGCGGTTTGAATCCACCAGCTGCTCGGTGGGAGGAAGAGGGGCAATTTCTTCCTGTGAAATTAACTGCCTCTGAAAACCTGACAGAGGGTCAGCTGTGGGTCATCTCTGACTTGATGATACACAACCACCACTCCAGCTCAGTGATCACTCATTACAGAATCAATTACAATTTTATTTGGGTACTTGTTAGCAACATTGCCTTTAATGAGAAGGGCTAAGCTTTCCTTAAATCAATCGCTGAGCAAACTACATTGCTCTAGCTGGTCATGACTACTGTTTTCCAAATAAAATGTAAACCCTTTGGAACATGCAAGTCGCATGACACATTTGTGGGGCACCCACAAACTATGTGGGACATGCCCGACCTATATGGAAAATACATGACCTATCTGGGACATGCATGGCACATATGTGGGACTTGAATAACATAAATATAGGACATAAATGATCTACATGGACCATAAATGTTATAGAAGTTGATGTGTATAACATATGTGGATCTATCTTATCTATGTATGGTGTACAGGGTTCATGCATATTTTCAGTCTTTTGGGTTTCTTGGGAAGATGTTATCACAGTGATAGGATGCACTGCCACCTGGTGGGAAATTGTATATAACTGTGTGAATCTGGAGCAAAGGCTTCACCCCACCAATCCTATCCTAGAGTTTATTTGGGACAGTTGTGTTTTGTATAAGTGTCCCAAATTCCTTAGTACTTCAGATACTTGCATTGATTTTTTTCCATGCTTGAAAACTCATAGTATCAATAAAATTTCAAAGTATTTGATTATAGCCTCCCTGCAGGCTCCCCCTACACCTACATTTGTTTCCAGTGGTTTGAACTCACCGATCTCACTGCCGCCAGCACACTGATAATCTTCCCGTTGAGACTTTGTCCATTTGCGACAATGTCACCCAGAGAGTAATAATCATGATGCTCTTTCACTGGCAGGTGGACCAAGGAAAGCAGTGTGGTGTTCACCTTGTACCTGGGACAGACTCTTACTGTGGAGTGGTTCTTGCTGAGCAAGAGTTTACAGGTGCTAAAGCACAAAAACACACAATTACTACTCCATGATTCTTGCATAGAAAAATAATTCTAGGCTCACAGTTACTTTATTGGAAGGAGTGTAATTTAGAATATATTAAGAAATGTACTTTTGATTCTAAGAAACACTGAAAAAGACTGCAGAAGATTTTTGACTAAAAGTATCCTGTTGTTAATAGGTGCCTTGTTGTATTGTGTGTATTCCACAACCAGGACTGTGGTGCCCCACCAGTAGCCTCGGCCAGACTGGCATAAGGCCTCAGCTGTGCCTTTGTTTTGATGAGTGCCTATGCCAGAAGTGCCTCCCAGGTAATGAGGTGGCAATGGACTGAAGAAAATGATTAACGCAGGGTACAAGTGTCCATGGGGTCTCTCTGGAGACCAAGGTGCCCCTGATACAGGCAATCACTTGTTATGCATCAGAGAGTTGGACAATGACTAGGGAGGATAGAAGGAGAATTGACACCTTTGAGCTGTGGTGCTGGA